AATCAAAAGAAGAGCATTTGCTCAGAAAAAATGATGGTGTTAGGACGGGACAGGAAAGAAGGATGAATGGGGTCAGGAAACCTGGGATAGAGGTGGAAGGAAGAGGTGGTTAAAACAGAGACTGTCATCAACACCTGAGACGTGTATGAGCTGCTGAGTGGGAAGCCGATGTGCTCTGTAAACTTTCACTCAACTCACAACAAAAAGCTGAACATGCAGGCAGAGGTCATGGAGAAGGAGCTAAAATGAAGCTCTATAACCCAAGACCTTGAGGTTCCTCTCCAAAACTGTCTACTTTTTCCATGCATTACTTTAAACCCTTACTTCAAAAGGGAAAACAAATGTAACTAAACTATTCTCAAAACTAAATGTTAATTCAGATACAGAACGAGATGGGTTAGCCCAAAGCTTGCTGTCCCCTGAACAGCTTCACGAAGCCTCAGGACAGCTCTCTTAAGCCATGACAAGGGTTCAAAGCAGGGATAGGACCCTCCAGCAGCATCCACGTAGCGCTGACTAGGTATCGTGTTTACTATGGAGTCCCAGCATTTCTGAGGAAGGTCCTCACTACTCCCCACATTACACATGGACACAGGGCAGGAGGAGAAAGCTTCCCTGGTCTGCTGTGCCATCCTGAACCATTCTCCTCAAACAGGGCTCTGAGCCTGAGCTCCCAGGTCCTGTGGCTGCCTGGAGGTGACACCATTAGACCAGGACCCTCACTCTGCCATGCCCCCAAGCCTGGCCAGGCCATGACCTGAGCAGAGGTGCTCCAGGCCCACCTCAGCATAGTCGCCCATGATGTAGTGGAGTCGTGCAAGCAGCCGCAGGCAGGCACAGATCTCCACGTGCATAGCTCCATACACATTGTTGAACAGGTTCAGGGCCTCGTTGATGAGCTCACAACCCTCCTTCAGGAAGCCTGTGGGGGACCCAGAGGGTGACAAGTCAGGGTGAGACAAGAGAAGGCCCCAGCTCACACCCAGCCTTCCCTCCCCAGCCACGCACCCTGCTGGACTTTGGCCTGCCCACTCTGGAAGAAGTGGAAGGCGTCTGAGGCTTTGGGGCTGACATGCTTGACCACAGGAAAGATGTTGAGCACGTCCTCCTCAGTGAACGCTGGCTTGTGGCGGCTGTCGAAGCTGTATTCCTTCAGCAGTATCTGGGGACAGAGACCAATACCTTGACAGGTAACCTCAGGCTCAGCTCCAAAGGACAGCTACACTGCAGATCCACAGGCCCCCAAGCAGTCCTATGGTCCCTCTGGCTCTGTGGGTCATGCTGGGAGGGGAACAGGACATCGTGCCCACCTGGATGCCAGTTTTCAAGGAAATCTCCCGCAGCAGTGTAATCTTCTGCAGGCCATATGTCTCCACAGCCTGGTCCACAGATTCACTGCAGGTAAGAGGGGGAAGCAGGTTGGCATCTGTCTCTGCTCCCTGCCCAACAGCGGCATCTCTACCTGAATACCAGCTCAAAGCATTCCCGGGCGGGAAATTCTACCAGCATTCACGTCTGACAATCTGTCCCTACTGCCTCATGCTCCCCCAGCGATGACCGCTTTTTCCTTCTCTCTTCATTCCACTGCCTGGTGACCACGGCTCAGGGGTGCAGGAAGGTCCTCACAACCACACAGAGGGCCCACCCTGGGCTACATACTCCGCCATCCCATCCTACCACTGCCACACCCGCGTCTGTGCCCGCACCACTCAAGGCTGAAGTCGAAGTAGTTCTTTGCCTCCTGGCAGATGTTCTTCCAGAGCTCCTGGGGGGTCATGACAGCCCAGGCGGTGTTATCTGTGGCCCCAGGAGGCCGGTTTTTCCTCCTCTTGTTTCTCTTCTTGGAGAGCAGCTCATCGGCAGGCAAGTGGGCCACAGGGTTAGGGTAGGAGCTCAGGAAGCAGTTTAGAAAGTGACTGATGGCAGCCGAGAGGCCTGAGAGCTCAACCCCCTGCAAGAAAGGTTTGGCTCAAAGTCCTGAGAGTCCTCAGCCTCCAACACAGAGTTCTTCCCCAGTGCCCCACACCACCCTGGGGAGCTGGGCTGGGCTGGGAGCATGAGGGTTAAGGAGAATGGTACCTGTAAATATGTCTTGAAGATGTGCTTGGCAGAGCGGGTGATGAGTTCTCCGATGCCAATTTTCTGCAAGGTTCAAAACAGGAAATTGTAGTCATGCCTGAGGCTTCCCTTCCAACCCTGTCTCCAGTGGACCTTGCACACCACTCACATAGATGTGGTCCAGCTGGTCACGAGTGGGGCTCCGAAGCACCAGATCCAGCACCTTGCCCAGGTAGCGCATGTTGATGCCACGCTGGCGCATCACCTCAGCCAGTGTGGCCCCATCCATGGGCAGCACCGCGTGATCTGTGCAGTCCTTCACCTGCAGGGGGCAACAGGTCAGGCCCCACCAGCCGGAGACCTTGGTCCTCAGCCCTCCTCTTCTCATCCCTAGCTTTTCTTGGGCCCTGAGAAAGACTCAACCCCCAGTCAAGAAAGGGAAGGCGACAAGGCAGAGGCAAGGTGTGAAGTCCAGACGAGCCCTATACTCTCAGCAGGGTCAAGAGACACATGGAGACCCCAGCAGGCAGGCAGCAGGGCAACAAGGGAGAGGGGTCGCTCAAGAGCAAATAATGCAGCAACAAGGATGAGAGGCCACTCGACTGTCTCACAGCTTCCATCCTGCCCATTCTGTCCCAAGCTCTACCACATGGGACCGCAGGCCCCACTGGCCCACAAAGGCAGCACGAGAGAGCAGACCTAGCAGGTGATGGGTTACATCACCTCTCAGGTCACCTTTCCAATCTATTAAATGAGGGGACATGTCTGCTGTGCCTGCAGGTAGGCCTACAGATCGGTCCTATGTCTACTATAAAGTCTATGGCTCCTGATCCCTGTCCCATGCAGCTGCTACCACATCACTCACCAAGCCTGGGATCTGGCAGGAGAGCAGGAAGGCAGCTGCATCTTTCAAAAGCTGCTTCTGGTCTCGAACTTCCTCCTGGCAGGACTCGGGGAAGCGGACGCCTGGCAAAGTAAGAGAGGTTACATGAGGCAGGGAAAGGAGAGGGGAGTGGAAAGATGGGCCAGTTTAGGGCTGGTGGGAGGTGGTGCCCAGGTGTGTAGGGAGGGAAGCTACAGGCCCAGGAACCCATGACCACCCACCACGCTGCCCTGAAGCACTCTGTGTCCACCTGCCTGGGGAGAAGATGTCGGGGTTGAAGCGAATGTCGAAAGCCGTGCTGCTGATGGAGCCGACGGCCTTGCAGGCGTTGCAGATGACCTCTCGGCTCCGCGGGTCTGCTGTGGAGAGGGAGCCCACCCGCTATCAGTGGGGTCGCCCCATGCCTGACTGCAGAGGACAGCCCTGCCAGGGCTCGGAGGGGCCAGCACGGCAGCAAGGCCCCCACGCCCCTGGCGTCTGCACAGCCCCACCTGCACCGTCGTCCGAGGCGATGGTCTCTGCCAGCTCCTTCACCTTAGCCAGGCCACTAGCACTGCTGCCCTCCTCAGCTCCTGCAGAGACTTCGGGCTTGGCTTCTGAGGATAGGGGGCCACCATCGTCCATGGAGGTGGTGGTCTCCATCTTGCTGGCTTTCTGCTGCATTAGCTGCAAGGCTGCCAGCTTCATGAAGAGGAGGTACCTAGGCACAAGCACACAGGGAGGAGCAGGGCTGGAGATGAAGCAACTGTATGCCAGCCAAGGGCCCAGGTCCCTTGCCTGCACGGTGGGCACCCAGAGTGCTGGCAAACACACCACCTCAGCAACCTGGCCTGGGAACAGCAGTTAAGAGCAGAAATCCAGGCTCTTCTGAGAGGCAGAAAGAACAACCTGGTGGTATGTGGGCAAGGGAGGGCAACTTTTCACCCAGGCCAGGGATCTCTACTGTGACAGCAACGCTACTGGCATGTTGAGAGGGCAAATGATTCACTAAGAGTTACCATCCTCAGAAGTCTAAGCATGAACCCTGGGGCTCCAGGATGAGGGAGCCTGATGCCAGTGGATGAGGGCTGTGATGTGGGGGGCTCTTGATCATATGACCAAGCATCTGCCTCCCAGCATCAGGCCTAGAATTACCGAGCTCAGAACGCTCCTGGGGTGGGGGCCCTGGTCAAGTTCAGGCTGGCCGTGGCCTGTCTCACCTGTGTTCCACGAAGGCATCCACCAGCTCCTGGCGCAGGCAGCAGAGTTTGTGCCTGTGCGCTCGGGGGAAGCCAGCACGCGTGCACTCCTCGGGCAGGTCCTCGCCGGGCACGGGTAGGAAGTTCAGGTCAGGTGGGAAGGTCCGCAACAGGTCCAGGATGTAGTGGCGCCCATCGTTGCCGATGATGCCCTTGCACTCGACAGAGGAGCAGAGCTCCACCTCCTCGTCCCGGTCATTGAGCACTCGGTGCCGCAGGATCTTCAGCGGACGGCTGGTTCGCTCCAGCAGCTCCAAGTACCGGGGGTGCGACACCACTGTCTTGCCAAAGTCAATGGAGCCGTAGATGACGCTCTGCTCCTGGTCCCGCTCCAGGATGCCAGGGATGATGGACTGGGCAGTAACGCGGTAGCCACGGTAATCCACCACCACGGTGCCCAGTGTGTACAGCCCCTCCACGTCCACAGCATTGTAGGTGCGCACCCCATTCAGGTCATTGGTGGGGGCCACATACGCCGCCACGTCCCCACCGAAGTCCTTGTAGTGGTCACGGACATCAAAGCCCAGGCTGAAGAAGATGTTGTTCCAGATGAACATCTGCATCTTGGTCTCCTCACTAGGGTTGATGGCCATCACATTGCCATCGATGACGGCCATGGCACCCCGGGTGGCTGCAGCCGTGAAGTCGCTGTGTACCTACAAGGCAAGAACGTGAGGCCCTGTTGCCAGACTGCCCTAAGCCCACTAAGACTGTAGAAACCACTGGGGACCTTCCTCAACTCCCTCATATTGAAGAGAAAAGAGGGGGAAACTCTTAATTTCTTTTTCCTGTTGTGCAACCTGCTTCAGTGCCTGCAGCCTATGAACAAGGAGGTCAGGCAATGGTTTGGGGCTACAGTTTGCTCTGGCATGGAACACTATGACAGACCCACAGGGACGAGCCTGCCGTAAATCTAAACCCACGAATATCAAACAACCTGTGAGTAACAAGGAGCACAAGTTCCAAAGATTTGGGATCCACCAAATCAGCTGGATGAACCCAGATAAGGCCCCATTTTCTTGCTTATCAAATGGTGATGGTTCAAGTATTAACCTTTACAAGGAAGCTAAAGATAAGCTTCCAATGTACTCTACACAGTCCTGGCGATAGTAAGGCTCAAGAAATAAAAATACTGGACCGACTCTCTGGTGGCCTAGTGGCAAGAAGCAACACTACAATCCCGAAGGCGTGCAGTTCAAATCTACTAAAATCTACCAGATGCTCCGCTGGAGAAGGAGGGGTAATCTCCTGGATCCACTCTCTCTCTCTTTTTAAATTTTTTAAAAAATAGCACCGGGACTCCTTTTCTCAGTTGATACTCAGGTGCTCGGTTCTTCAAATGCTGTGTTGGGATGAGGCCCTCACGTCGTCCAACGACTAGGACTGGGCCTGGCAACTTTTCAGCCCAGCACCACTGCACCACAGCCTCCTCTCTGAACTCACCTGCATCTACTCAGCTCTCATCCTACACGAGGAGGAGGTGACCATACTGGAGGATAAAATCAGTGGCGTCATTAAGGCAGCCAGTGTCAATGTTGAACCTTTCTGGCCTGTCCTGTTTGCAAAGGCCCTGACCAATGTCAACACTGGGAGCCTCATCTGCAATGTGGGTACTGGTAGACCTGCCTCAGCGGCCGGGGCTACAGCAGCTGGAGGACCTGCCTCCTCCACTGCTGCTGCTCCAGCTGAGGAGAAAGTGGAAGCAAAGAAAGAAGAATCTGATAATGACATGAGATTTGGTCTTTCTGATTAAACTCCTTTTGTAACATGTTCAATACAAAAATCCTGAAGTAAAAAAAAAAAAAAATTTAAAAAGCACTGAAGTTTATCATTATTTCCAGACAGTAAAACTATGGGGGAATTTTTTTTCCTCATCTCATTTGCTTATCTTAGTAAAAGCACCAATAACTCCTAAACCCATATAAGCTAACATGGCTGTGCACAGGAACCACACAAGCCCAACAGGCAGTGTGTGCCCAGGTGAGGGAAGGGGGGTTGTCACAGACCTTGCTGTTGCCCCAGGACCCACAGACTCAATCTCAGCAACTAGACTAGGAAGCTGACCACTGTGCACAGCCCGTGAGCAGCCTCATGGCAGCAGACAGAGCTAAACTGCTCTCAACTCCCTCCATCCTCTTGTCACTAGAAGCCATGGAGGTCACAACTCATCAACAGCAGATGCTGGTGAGACAACGGGCCAGGGCACCTTGAATATGGCTCTTTCTCGTAGCAGCCGCTCAGGTAGGTTCTTGCGGGGCAGTTCCCTCGTCGTCTGCAGCTCTTCATTCCAGTCCCGGGTCTGCGGAAGGACCAGGAGAGACATCAGCTTGGCCTCTACCCCAAGGCAGTGCCCTCCTCCATCAGCCCATGTACAGGACAGCCCCACAGCCCAGAAGACGGGAGTGCCAGTTGGCTTCCAAGGGGAGGGGAACCCTGAACCCTGGGAGGCCAGGTCAGGAGTAGGTACCTGTCCAGGAATGTGCTCCTCGTAGCCCAGCCGCGAGGTGTAAGCGTCTTCGGCGCGCACACAGTCCATGGCATGCTCTGCCTGAGGGGCTGTCCAACTATACACCTGGAACGGGGTGGCGATCCTCTCGAATGGGTGGCGCTGGACCCTGTGGCAGGCAGGTCATGGGAAAGATAGGGTAGCCCACCAAACTCGGAGCCCTGCCCCGGACAGCCTCTTCTCTGAGGTCCCATAATGGGTCTGGCAAGTCCCCCACCCTGCTGTCACCAATCTGGCTGACAGCTCTCTAAAGGGGATTCCTGAGCCTTGAGGCCAAACTGGCCAGTTTGTCCCACTCCCCCAGGTGACATGAGACAAGGAGAAGTAGAACAAAGGCACTACCTTTTCTTTTGCAGCAAGGCAAAATTTTTTTTGAAGGTTGGGCTGATCTGGTTGAGCAGCTCCACCAGGGAATGGCTGAGGAAGCGGGGGCTTGCAGGCTTGGGGTTGAAGTGATATGCTGTGGACCTGCAGAGGATGGGGTCACTAAGAAGACAAGCAGGCCGACGGGCCCTCACCCCAAATGTCTGCAGGACTCACTGGTTCAGGTAGAAACCTCGCGTGGAGGCAGTGATGCTAACTTGCCGGTCCTCGGCCGTGATCACAAACAGGTACATGAGGTCCCCGTGCATCTTGCGGTTCCCGGGTGGGGGGTTCCAACCACTCATGGTGAGTACCTTCAAGCACTGCAGAGGCTGTGAGAGTGGCCAAACGTGAGCAGGTCAAGCCTTGCAGTGTGGTGACTCCGCCTCACCAGGGCCCCACTCCCAGCGCTCCCCTAGGAGCCCCACCTTCCAGTCACGGTTCTGGGGCTGCAGGGGACACAATGGCCGTTCTCGGCTCCCTGGAAGGATGTACTCTGGTGGTGTGCAGTCGATGGGGTCCATCTCCAAGCCCTTCTTCCGCTTCCCGCTATCTGAGGGACCGGAGGCTGGTGGTCAACATGGGACCTACTTAGGGGCCACTGGGATCCCCCATCTTAGCCCACCTAAGCTCCCAGGACCCGCATCCTGAAGATGGGAAGACCCTGCCTTTGGCTCCTGCCCTAAACCCTCTGCACCACTTCTAAGCCAATGCCCCCCCCGCACCTCCCAGATCGCCATCAGTGAAGACACTCAGGAAGGACAAGGAGTTGCAGTCAACCCCATTGAAGGCGTCGGATGGGTCCAGGCTCTTGAGTAGGTCTCTGACATGGCGCACGTGGATGCGGGCCTCTCGTACTGTGTACGGCTCTGCCGGGATTGGGAAGGGCAGGTCTTAATCAGAGGCCGGGATGCTGGGGCCCTGCATCCCGGAACCACCCACCTAGCAGAGAGAATAACAGTTCACGGTGGTGCCATCATGAACAGTGTTCATTTCCAACCTTAGCTTTTATCCTGAACACATAATCTAGGGTACAGGTTTCAAAACAGAACCCCCACCTGCTGGTGGACATGGGTTCCAGTTTACAATGAATCTTCTGCCAAATGACATAAATCTTGGGGAGCCCAAAAAGCCATTGTTGTTTTTTTGTTTGCTTGTTTGTTTTTTATCCATAATCTACAGAGCTACCAGCTTCCCTACAGCCCATCCCCATTTTCCCAAGACATTCTGTAACTCCACATTCCTAACACTGGGCCCAGAGCTGGGTTCCTAGCGCTTTAATAGGGGATCTCTAGGGAGGAGACATGATTAAGTAAGCAAGAGTGCAATTAGGTTAAAGGTGTTTTTTGTACTTGCTTTTAATACATTTGGCATGCCCTGGGACCCCAAAGGACCAGCCTGTCACCCCAGACGAGAGCCAGGAAACTTTGTCCTTTTTGGTTTCCTTTTGAGATTTAATTTTTCTCTTTCTAGAACTGGACGTAGCTGATTTGATCTTGAATAGCTCTGTCTCAGTTTTTTTTGAACTACGCTCTGCTCCTTAACTCAGTCACAAGTGGGGAGTGTGACTGGGTGTCAACTGCGTGATAAACAGGCCTGTGTTCCACCCCACTTCACCTACTCACTGGCATTCTGATATGGCAGGGTGAGGACAGGTCCCTGGGCATGCACAAGTCCCAGTGGGATGCTGTGGGGTGAGGACTGGTCCCTAGGAATGCACAAACCCCAGGGCCTGCTTCCTTGTGCCTTCTTCTCACTGCCTGACCTACCTTCCACCACACGCAGCACTGAGCCCTCCTGCAGTCCCTCGACACTGCGAAGCTCTGAGAAGTGATCTAGCATGTTGCCATCCAGGTGCAGTGAGAAGCAGGTGCGGTGGCACGTGTCTTCACGGTCCATGAGCACCTGGTGGATTTCCTGCACCATTTCCTGAGGGGACACCTGTCAGAGAAAAAGGCCCCGATCACCACTGTGAAAGGCTTTGTCCAGAAGATGTAGCTAAGACATAGGTCCTCTCTGCAGCCCAAAGGACTTCAGTCCCTGGATTCAAGACCTCCAACACCCATTTTCTCCACATTGAAGCTTTTAAGCAAAGCACCCAGCCTGCCCCTCTCCATGTGCACAAGCACGGCTTATCACACTTGCAGGACAGAGCCTGGGATGCCATGAACTGAGATAGGCTGAAGGCAGGGCAGAGGAGGAGGAAATGATCATCTTATCACTGCCCTTGCTCAATGCCAATGTCCCCATGGTAAATGACCTTTCCCTTCCAGGAGAGGCTCTCGGGTCCCAGCTCAGAGTCCAGAGAACATAGCATAAAGGTCCATGCCTAGTTCCCCAAAGAGTTCTCAGCCTGTAAGACTCCAGGCTGGCTTTACCTCTGGAGATCATCCAGTTCTTACAAGTATTTAACTTGCAGAAGTAACATACAGAGTACAAGGAGAAGCTGAGCCCCAACACTGCACACCTCTGCCCATACAGGGCTGAGTCTGAACTGGATGCTGTCCTCCAGCAACAGGGCATGACCTGGGCCTGGACTAGGTCCCCAGGTCAACCATAGTACTCCAGTAACCCTGTCTATGGCTAACTGCATGGGGCTGGGAGAAACAAGATCAAGGCTTTTTGGCTTTACCCTCTCCCAAGGGCTCAGACCTTGGTCCCCTCCACCCTACCTCCATCTCACCTGCAGAGAGAAGGGCTCAATCCCAGGAGCCAGGATCTTCACAGAAAAGCCTGTGTCCTGAATGACAATGACCTCCTGCCCGGTGGCCTCATCTCCTGGCTCAGTCTCATCCAGCCCATTTTCCCGAGGTGGCTCAGCCACCCCCTCTTCCTTCTTTAGGCTTTCTGAGCAGTCCCCATTCAACAGCATGACGGTTGGTGGTTCTAGGTGACAATAATTAAGGAGCTGGGTCAGAGGAGCCTACTCCGTCAGGGGGGACCATCCTGTAACCCCGCCAAGATGGTGTCTGCAAGTCCTCTTAAAACCCAGCACCAATCAAGCCCAATCCCACTCAGCTTCAGTACTCACCTCCCTTGAGGCCCAGGCTCCTGCGATCCATGCCTTCCCCCCTTCCACAGCCAAGACCCATGAGAAGACCCTTCCCTCAACCACTCCATACCCTTGTTCCCATTTCACTCCTCAATGCAGCTCAGTTAAATTTACCCTTCTATGTATACCCCAAGATCACTCTCCCCAAGCCACCAGCACCATCCTCAGAGCCCAAGATTTTCTCTGACGTGAGCTTAGCTCAGCAGCATCTCTCCCCATTGGTTACCTTCTTCTCTTCCCTGAACAATACTGAATTATTTACCCTAGCTTAAATCCTAGCCACTACTCTGTGGTTATAATCTCATTTAGGAAAGGAGTTTCTGTTAGGTTAATGAGACAAGATTAGTGGACATTGTGTCCTGAATTAATCTCTTTTGAGATACCAAAAAATTAACCAAGCAAGTAAGTAGAAGAGAGATGGCCAGCTACTGGGAGATAGACCAGGAGCAGAACTCAAAGACAGAGGATTACCCTCCAGACCCAATAGAAAGAAAGGCTTCCCTAGAACTGGCATCTTGAATTTGTACTTCTAGCTGTGAGAAAATAAATGTCTTCCTTAAAGTTTTTCTAATATTTGTCATATTTCTGTTATGGTAGCACTAGTTAACTAAGAATTTGGCAGCAAGAATTGGAGATGATGTTCTAATATACCTTCAACATGAAAGTGGTTTTGGAATAATAGTGGAGGCTGAAGCGTTTACGTATCTAACAGTAAGAACTATCTAACAGAGAACTCTGATGGCCTAGCGGTAAGGACTTGCACTGTCAACCCAAAGGCACACAGCTCAAATCCACTAGCTTTTCTACTGGAGAAAGATGGGAAATCTCTTGT